CAAAATATATTTTTGCATCTAACAAAACAAAAAATTCATAATTATAATTATAAAATATCGAGAGAGAGAAAATATAGAAAGAGAAAAGGAAAGAATATAATATGGAAAATAATAAAATATATATACATATAAAAAAAATGAAATTAATGTTAAATTTGTCATCTCAGTATAACGATAAATATTTTCATGAACAAATTTAAAGCGTTGAAATATATATTACCAAAGAAAAAAAGGAAGCCAGCAGGCCAAAAATGCTGACATAATGATGCCGAGTGTCCTGGCCGCCTTCCGTTCTCTCTTCATTTTACTGCTGCTAGTCATCGGTGGTTCTTCCGGCTGCGGCTCGAGTGATGATTGGTCCACAGTCGGCAGAGATGTCAAACCGGCCGAAATTCCATTTATTTGTAAATGCTTATTTAGGAGAGCGGCCGCAACTTTACTCCTGAAACATAAGCAGCAAAATATGAAATTATTGAATAACAATAATTGTAACCATTATTTAATATAACACATGAAATATAATATTGGTATCATGTTTTATAAAATAATGTTTTGTATTTTACCAATGTTTTCTATTTTAATTCAGAATTTAATCGATGAAACATTTTAGGTAATATTAGTTCTCGTCAGAGAGTGGTTTAATTAATATGTTATAGGGAATAGAAATCAAATTAGAGATACATTAAATAACGTTAGGTAAATAATTAAATACAAACATGATTAAATTAATTAAATATCATCTACAAATATCGTCTTTATTTTAAAAAGTAATTTCTTTAATATTGTTGTAAAATCATATAATACTGAATAAATTTTTATAATTTCATACAAAATAATATGTAACAACAATACTGAGCTGCATAAACAAAATTGTAAAAGATTTGAAATATCAATTTTCACAGAAATATTGCAATATATTTATTACGATATTTTACTACATTTACATGTATAGGATGATGATCAACAACTTTAGACTATTTTTATTTTTGCAAAAGGTATTAATAACATCATTTTAACAATTAAATATTTTAATTTTAAAGATATAAAAAAATCAATGAAATTATATCTAAATATAATTATTCTCCAAAAAGATTAGATATTTTTCTCGAAATTATTAATCTTTAATGCTTAAATTATAATTTGTATTTTAGCAAATTATATCGCGCATTTTTTTTCTTTTCTTTTTTATAAAACCATGTCATCGTTGTTTATTCAACTTTGACCTTCTCGACCACGAGTACGATGCACCGTGGTTTTATCACCACTTGGCCGTTATCCAAGTTTACTTCACGCTATCTTCTCGGTCTGCTAAACCGCATGAATTTAATATCTTCCCGATGTACGATTATTTTATTGTTACTTCCACTTTGAATTCACCACGGTACAATCAGAGACTTGAACTCTAACCTTCTGACCTAGATTTTCATCGCCGCTTGATAAGAAATTATGCGCGACGGTTATTAAAAAATTTTAGTATTTTACTATTAGCGAAAATATTGACTGGCTGCGAAAATTATTTTATAGTTTCATTTATATTAAACTAGATAACTATCTTTATCATATTACTTTATTACTACTGTTATTACTTAACCGTATTAATGTATATATAATAATAACAATTTAGTTCAATGAAAAATTAAAATAAAAATTTAGAACATATGATGTGTCTTGTTTTCTCGGAAATTGAAGTTTCCTGGATTAAACTGAAATAACGCTGTGGTATAAAGAAGATGCAATGTACATAATGCTTGTTTGTTTTTATATGTTGCGATGATATACATAAAATCTAGAAAATTGCGCCTCGTACACGCTTGTTGGCAAGCTACAAATATTGCATTCGTTATTCGATTTAGTTGATTCGCCCGCGCAATTTAACAACGTCCATTTCATCGTACTTACAGCTGATTCATTGGCAAGCGCAACTTTGAAATTAAACTCATGCTCGTGAATATTAATCTCGCAAAATAACTGCAAAACAAGTGCAAATTTCAATTATACATCTATAAAAATATTCACATTTACATCTACAAATGAAAAAACGTTCTAATATTTTAAATCAATGGAAAAGGAAATATGTTAATAAAATTTTTGAAAGAAATATTAAATCCGTTATTGTTTATATACATATATATTTAATATATATTAATATATATTAATTAATATATATTAATTAGCAATATTTCTAAAATATTCATATATACCGATATTTTATTTATCTACATTTTAAATATTTTATTTATTTTTATCTCATACAGAATTGATAATATCAAAGATGCTAGTAATTAGAATCATTATCTTATTTTCTAGAATATTTTATAAACAGAAAGATATTCAATATAACTACGATTAGATTCCATTCGTAATAAAGATTAGTGTTTGTAATAAGAATTCCGAAAATATTGATGATGCAATTGCGAATAAAATTACGCCTGAATATTAAAGTTTCAAATCATAAATTACTAATTAGCATATCCTACACAAATAATTTATAAATAAGTAGTTTCTCTCATTACTGGGAGGAAACGCAATTAAACTTTGGTAGTTCGCCAGCATATCCTGTTTTGCACCAACTCAGAAATCCGCGTAGATGTCGAGCGTACATAGATATTAATACTTTGAATTAATACATTCAGTCTCCTCAGTATACAACATTATAAACATATCTGTCTGTTTGTTTATATTTTAAATCAAGGAACTTGCTATTGGTTTAAATAATAATATAGTACAGACAATTATAATAAACAACACGTGATTCTTTATTGTAGTTTATCTACCAAATTAAAATTTTCATATTTTGTTTATCAAACAATAGATATGTAAAATTAATCTAATAATTCGATAAATCGTTTAGACAAGCTGGTCCAATTAAAAAGTTCGAAATCAACTAAAGCTTTCATATTACTTCGGGCTTCGGCACAACTACTTTTAACAAAAAGAATACCGCACGAACCTCTTGTTTCAGTTGCAAACTCGCGTTTAAAGTTACGCTTGTTCTCGAAACGGGCGCAAACTTGGAAGATACTTCTCGACAAAGCTTTTTTTCGCGAACACTTGCTACGGCATGGGGGGGGAATGTGGAAAGCATCGGCTGAAGCTAAATTTGATATTACACAAGCACGGAGAGATTGAAAACTTTTGAGATTCTAACAAACAAACGAATATATTTTTATATTTCCCCCTAAGAATGTTTCGCCTTCATGAGATTCGACTTATATCATAAAACACAAATTATGTAAGCTGTAATAAGTTTAAACAATGCGTTGATTATTAAAATCTTTTATCAAAATATCAAGATACGTACATTTATGTGAATTTTAAAAATTGTTAATCAAATTGTTAATATTATTTTACTCTTTAATCCCTTTAAACTCTCGTCTTGTCTTATCTTTAATTTAATTTTACTCCTGTGTTTTTCACTCCTGTAAACTTTGCAAACGTCGTTAGCTAATTTCAGATCTTAGGTAAATAAACTCGCGTCGATTCCTCGCGTTGAAACAATGCGCAGCGCATTCATCTTCATTAGATCGAGACTTCCAGCCGCATTACGCTCGATCTAGAATACAGGTACATTTAGCTGCTGCCATACACGGTATTTCGCTGCCATACGGATAGTCCGATCGTAATTCGCACGAAATAAGGCCGCCGATAGCGGCGACGAGATATTCTTCGCAAGATCACCACGGTGAGATCATTTATTGTCTGTCTTATGCAGTTACGTTAAATGAACGTTTAGCAGCCCCGCATGAATGCATTTTAATATCACGTTATAAAATGAATATAAGACTAATGGCTGAAACTGTTTTTGACTTATATACCTAACAAACATTAATTTCTCCCTCACTATTTATT